GCTGGCGATGGGAGCAGCAGGTGCCCCTGGCCCCGCGGTGCCAGCCTCGATGGTTTCCTGCGCTCGCCTATCCCTTCCTCAAGATTGTTTTTGTTTTTTTCCGGGCAGGGAGAGTTGGAGGCTTCGCTCAGGCGTGGAGCGGGCAGGGCTGTGCCCACAGTGCTGCAGTGCCAGGGCTGGGTGATGCCAGGGCTGGGTGATGCCAGGGTAGCTGTGGTGGCTGTGGGGAGGGGGCTGCCAGGCTGGGAGTGGAAGATCTGTGCTGCCCGTGGTGTGGCTGATGGGGTGTTCAGCATCCAGCAGCGTTTGCAGCAGGGATTTGGGTCCTCTGGGATCTCTGCCGCTGGATGTGCCTCAGTTTCCCTTTTCTGTGCAGTTTCCAGCCTGCCGGGGCATGGGGGGAGTCTCTGCTCTTGGGGTGATGAGCGAGGCCTGGGAATGACGCAATGCTCTGAAGGGAAATTCATCCTCATCCTCATTCCCTCCACATTTAATCCCCTCCCGTGCTGCCCCTTCCCTGCTCAGCTGCCCCCAGCCCCACACAATTCAGGGGTGAATAACGAGGTCCTGTTACCTCATTAACTCCTAACGAAGGCGCTGGGGAAGGAGGGAGGTCCCACATCCAGGGAGAAAAGCAGCAGAGACATCCTGACTCCGGAATATCGACCGGGATGGGATGGGATTTCTCTCGGTGTTCCAGCACCCTGTTTGGAGCTGAGCAGGATAACATCACCCTGGGGTGGCTGTCACCACCTGGCGCTGTCCCCTGCGGGTTGGGTGGCAGCGTGGCCGTGTCCCCCCGGCCCAGCTGACCCCGCTGTCCCCGCAGGTGCTGCCAAGGGCGAGGGTGAGAAGCGGCTGAGCGTGCAGTACACGGCGGGCCAGGAATGTCCCGACAACGTCTTCTTCCCCAGCACGCGGCCCCCGCACCTGGAGGAGCTGCACAACCAGGCCCAGCAGGGGCTCAAGTCCCTGCAGCACCAGGGTAGGTGTCCCCAGCTCCAGGATGCCCTTGGGGACACGGTGGAGGGCTGTCCCAGCTCCATGGTGGCTTTGGGGACACGGTGGAAGGGCTGTCCCAGCTCCAGGGTGGCCTTGGGGACACGGTGGAAGGGCTGTCCCAGCTCCATGGTGGCCTTGGGGACATGGTGGAAGGGCTGTCCCCAGCTTCTGGGTGGCCTTGGGGACACGGTGGAAGGGCTGTCCCAGCTCCATGGTGGCCTTGGGGACACGGTGGAAGGGCTGTTCCATCTCCTGGCTGGCCTTGGGCACACGGCTGAAGGGCTGTCCCAGCTCCATGATGGCCTTGGGGACATGGTGGAAGGGCTGTCCCAGCTCCTGGCTGGCCTTGGGGACACGGTGGAAGGGCTGTCCCAGCCCCAGGGTGGCCTTGGGGACACGGTGGAAGGGCTGTCCCCAGCTCCAGGATGCCCTTGGGGACACGGTGGAAGGGCTGTCCCCATCTCCATGGTGGCCTTGGGGACTCGGTGGAAGGGCTGTCCCCAGCTTCTGGCTGGCCTTGGGGACACGGTGGAAGGGCTGTCCCCAGCTCCATGGTGGCCTTGGGGACACGGTGGAAGGGCTGTCCCATCTCCTGGCTGGCCTTGGGGACATGGCTGAAGGGCTGTCCCCAGCCCCAGGGTGGCCTTGGGGACATGGTGGAAGGGCTGTCCCAGATCCACGATGGCCTTGGGGACACAGTGGAAGGGCTGTCCCCAGCCCCATGGTGGCCTTGGGGACACGGTGGAAGGGCTGTCCCAGCTCCAGGGTGGCCTTGGGGACACGGTGGAAGAGCTGTCCCCAGCTCCATGGTGGCTTTGGGGACACGGTGGAAGGGCTGTCCCAGCTCCAGGNCCTGTGGGCAGAGCTGGAAGGCTGGACCCTGACCCATGGAGCCAGGAGCAGTGTCCCTGCCAGCTGCCACCACCCGTGGCCCTTCCTGGGCTCAGGCTGCCCAGAGCTGAGGGCAGGGCTCAGCTCAGCACGTGGCTGCCTGCTTTGTGCATCCTCAGCCCTTTGATTATGTCCCTTTTCCACTTGTGCTGTGCAAAGAGCTGGGGAGCCTCTGCCCACCCCCACCAGCACCTTCTGGGGGGCGAGTGGGCAGCAGGGCCCATCCTGGAGCAGGTGCTGGTTAAGGCACAGCCAGGGAGCTGCTGCTGTTGGAATTCCAGGGAAGAAATCCTCGCTGAGCCCAGAGCTGCCTGGCTGGGGACACAGAGATGTCCTTCACAAGGTCAAATTGTCCCTTGGGCTGCACAGGCACTGCTGGGACCCTGTGCTGGGTGAGCCCACCCTGCATTGTGCTGGAGCAAACCTTGGCACAGCCCTTGGGGTGCTGCAGGGCAGGGACAGAGGGTTTGGCACAAGGGCACAGGTAAACACTGGGTGTTGTTCACTTTTTGGGGTAAAACACCTAGAAATGGGGGGCATGGAGCTCCCCCACTGCCCTCCATGGTGGGGACAGTGACTGGCAGTGCCACTGTGTGACCGCCTGGCATTTCTGCCCCTGCTTTCACCTGCCTCCGCAGCAGCACTGGAGCTACTGGTTACACTGGTCCCAGGGCTGGTTTTCCCCCGTGCTGCCAACCCTTGTGACCGTGACGTGGCCCTGTCCCTAAGGACAAACAGCCCTGGCCTTGTCCTGTGTTCCTTGCCCGGAATGGGGCTCTCCTGGCAGGGTCCTGGGGGACATTGGGGACAGGCTGGCGTGGGGAATGCCACCCTGCTGCCTGTGCTGTGTCATAGCCAAGGTGCAAACCCTCCCAGTTCCTCCCAGTTGGCCGCACTGTTGTGGAAGGGAGGGACTGGTTTGCG